CAGGCTGAGCTGGTCTAGATTTCTGAATAGCAGGGATGACGGGGACCATGTGCACAGGCTGAGGAGGACTTGTTGGTTAAGATTCTTGCTTCCCTGTCTTATTCCTAACATCCGAATGTACCATTGGGATGGTTATTGTTCTGGCCCAGATTTTTGCTTTGTACTAACACCACTAGGAACAGCCAAAATTCTAATGTCACCAGGATCTTGTCGCCAACGCCTGGGTCTCCAGACATATTGCCTTGGACCGCTGGCCTCCTTACTCCACCAGGAAGGCTTTGCAAGAGCCTTCCTGGGCCCGGACCGATTGGCTACAGGACACCCAGCAGAAGAGCTGTGTTAATGGCTGGCTCCTTTTTCTCAGTTAAACAAAGGTTGGTCTCTAAAAATGGGTCGAGGGTTGCAGAGATGATTCAATGATTACAAATGGACAATTACAATTCTCAGCACCACACAGTAGCTAACAACTGTCTGTAACTCCAGCTCCCACGGGACACAACACCCTCATTGGGTGTGCCACTGATGTGGTGCATAGACGTACAGGCAGGCAAATCACTCAAACATATAGAACAGAAATATGTGAATCTCAGAAAAGTGAAAAAAGTTAAAAGGGCAGAATATAGGAAACCGGCTACCTTCCTTTCTTCCCATGACCTGTGATACACAGGGCTTTGCTATGCCTTCCTCCTGGTATACTCAGCCCTGGGGACCAGATCCTGAAGTAACAAGGCCAGTATACATCTAAGCACAAACACATGTGCCTCAGTCACCTCTTACCAACTGCTTCACCTGACTGTGCTGCTTGCATCCCATGCGTGTGGGACGGTATTAGCCCCAAATCTCTCCATTGGTTTCATGCTGGAGATGAACCCCAAGATTGTGTGCAGGCTGAGACTGTAATCCACCGCTGCCCCACACTCCTTAGCCCTGGCAGCTTTGGACAAGGATCATTGCGTGAGGGTTTTCCCAGAAGCTGGCAGGAAGTGGTGGCGTTTCCACCTTCTGAAATTCTAGGGGATCTATTCAGACAAGTTTCTAAATGCAACCCCAAAGGCTGGCCAGCCTTTGGTTCCTGATCTGATCTGAGAGGTAGTGTGGCCTCAGATCACTGCATAGGCAGATCAGCCTGGAGGAAAGGCTGGCCACGGCCCAGTACACCAACATTAAAACATCAACACCAGAGAAGACAAATGAGACGAAGAAAGCAACCCGAGGGACTGCTTTACAAGGGGCAGGAAGGAAAATCTCTTGACTCTTCAAATCTGTACCATGTTGGAGGGGAAGGAGGACGTGATGCCGGTGACAACCTGACAGGAGGATGGGGCAGGAAAGACAGACGGAGGTGAGAACAGGCAGGCGCACATCTGTGCACAGGCATGTGGTGTTCGAACGGGTACTGAATGTGAGCCCTTGCACCAGGCAGGCTTCGGCACGTCTGGGTCACAGCCCTTTCTAACTCCTTTGTAGTGCTCAGTGCTTTCTCTGTTACTGCCTCTGTGTCAACTTTATCTTCTAAACATTCCTTCTAATATGTAACAGGTTTCACAAAAATACACAAGGCCTTTTACAAAGTCTAGGCAAGTCATTGTGGGTTGATATGGATACTTCTTAGGAAGAAACAAGCCAGTACTCAGATGCAGAACTAAATAAAACCCCAATAAATCAAAACCTCAGACTGAAATTTTCAGCTACGAGCTTCCCAGACGTGCACATCTATAGTGAAGCATGAGTGGGATTGTACAGCTCTGGGAGGAGCCGTGATGCAGTGTGGGACACAGCAGAGCCGGTAGAGCTGGCTCAAGGCCTGGCCGGCAAAACCACCATGCAAGAGAACAAGTCCCAAACATTCAGACTGTTAGCGGACTGGTAGTAACAGAGAACATAAAACACAAAGTAGTTCACATTTTAAATTTAAAACATTTAAACTTGGAAAGCAAGAGACATTCTCAACTGATATTTCCAGTTACACGAGGACTGAGTGGAACAGAGAACCTAAGAGACAGCACTGTCACGGCCGTCTGTCCGTCTGCTGCAATCCCACTGATTCTGTCCACGTACAACAGGACTCAGGTCGGCACCTTGCAAACCTGGAGTTCATACTCACCTAAACCCTTCTGCCCAGGGTTCTTGGCGAAGGTAAAGGTGAACTGGTAAAAGTCTTTAAACTTGGCTGAGTCCTTGAGCTCTTGCTCCAGCTTGGGAAGAAGAGCTTTCAGCTTCTCTGTGCTGTCACACCTGCGACAACAGAGAAGCTTGTTACTTGCCATCTGCCTGTCCACCGTTCCTCATCTCCCGGGTTCCCTTGCAAGGCTGTTAAGATCAAGTAGCTGCCGAGCTGCAGCCACACTGAGGCCTCTGGCTGTGCACATTAAATCGTGAAAGGACGGCACGTGCTGTTTGACTGCTTCTTTTTAAGACAGGGTTTCTCTGTGGAACCCAGTCCTGGAACTCACTCTGTAGACCAGACTTGCTTCAAACTCAAAGATCCACCTGCCTCTGCCTCCTGAGTGCTGGGATTAAAGGTGTGCGCCACCACCACTCGGTGGTATGTGCTGTTAAGTCAGGGAAAAGCAAACCACACAGAGGACAACTGTGTCCTCTGTCCACAGCAAGGCCAAGTGAGGTGGCTCAGGGATAAGATGCAAAGTCCACGTTTATTCACTGACCATGAACCTGGGACCCCCTGTCAGTCTGGGCCATTGCCAGCACTGCGCTGCAACAGGAGGGAAAGAAGCCTCATCGCTTAAGCATTTAACGTTAACTGTAGCAAGTTCAGTCTGAAATAGTCAGGTGATAAACCTACTTTGTTTTGGTGTTTTGAATCAGTTTCTCTATGTAGTCCTGACTGTCCTGGAACTCACTGGGCAAACCAGGCTGGTTTTCAACCCACTGCCTTCCCAGTGCTGCAATTAAAGGAGTGCACCACCTTGCCCAGGCTGTATGTTTTAAAGACTGATTTTCCTCTAAAAAGACAATCACCTTTAAAAACAGCAATCAGCCTGGGCTGGGGTGTGGCTCAGCAGTAGAGGACTTGCCTACTATACGTAGGCCCTGGACTCCATCCCCAGCTCTGTAAAACAAAACAGACAAAAGCTCCCAGACATAAAACAATCCCAAAATACCTCAGTAAAAATATTAATTGTTCTTTAAGGCATAAATGGGGAGCAGCGAAACAAATTGGTCTCTTTTGCTTCAACTGTCCAACAGGGAACAGAGTAAGAATGGTACTCAACCACTTAGCCAAGGTGAGCTTTAACCCAAGAAAGACAAACTGGAGGAAGTCTCACACCCCAGACTATCCACTATTCCACACCCTTATGGGATGTGGACGCGGGACTAATGCAGTGACTCCCGTTGGTGACCCATGCCCCAGGCACCACCTCCAGGTAGCACAGCTGAGTGGCAGGTGCCCAGGTCCACAGAGGCTGAGCACTTCCCCTCTCTGGAGAGGCAGGGCCCACTCTCTCGTTCTTCTAGCTCTACCACCACGACAGCACTGCTACACCCTGGAGCTCGACACAAACGTGAACCCACGCTGCTCCGTGCCTGGTCTTTGGGGCCTATGTCAGGTGTGTGAGGTTCATCCTGCAGTGTGCAGATGCAACTTAGCCATTGCCTTTTCATAGGAATTGTACATATATATAATTTGTAGAACATACTGATGGTGATTGTGTCAGCTGTTCATAATTTTATTATCACAAGAAATGTTAGCATCTCTACACACGCAGCCTGGGCACACGTGAACATACTTCTCTCCAGGCGTGTGTCACTGGGAGAAGCAGGGTCGGTGTGGCAACACCCACACACCATGGCCTTCCCAGGCCTAGCTCCCCACTGCTTGCCGCTGGGTCTTATTTCAGCCAACCTGCACCTAAGCTTCCGGGATGAATGAGACCTTGCTTCTGATATTTTCTCTGGCTCCTGGGAAACCTTTCAGGAAGCCTTGTTCTCATGTGTGGCTCGCTTTCCAAGGGGCCTTTCACCATCTATTGAGTTCTTCAAGAGGTCTGAGCCCTTGTCCGCAGGCAGCTTTATAATGCTCACACCTGGAATGTTCTGTGTCTTTTTGCTTTGTACGATGAGAAGTTTTCATTTACCTATTTTTGGCCCAACACTCTAAAAAAAGTCCTTCCCCAGGGACTGGAAAGACGGCTCAGTGGTTAAGAGCACTGACTAATCTTCCAGGGGACCCGGGTTCAATTCCCAGCACCCACAAGGCAGCTCACAACTGTGTGTAACTCCAGGATCCAACACCTTCACACACAGGCAAACCACCAAGGAAATAAAAAAAAATTAATTAATTTAAAAAGTCCTTCATTATGTTTATTGGGCGACATTGTAAAACTTACCCTTTTGCATGATCATAAAGTTACTTTCTGCATTATTTATTAGAGGTTAAATGTTTTCAGCATTGAGAACTATAATCCACTTGAAACTGATTTTTATATACGTTGTAACAGGGATCAAAATCAAACAGATTTAGAAATCATCTTCCTTTTATGAAGCTGTCCATTAGAGCTGGATATCTTTTTGTTAAAAGCTTGTACGGGAAGCCATTCCAAGATTTTTCTTTGAAATTTTAAATTACAGACTCTGGTAGTGTCCCCCATAGGTTCACATGTTTGAATACTTGGTTCCCAGTTAGTGGAACTGTTTGGAAAGGACTGGGGGTGTGGCCTGGGAGGAGGCGTGTCATTGGGAGTGGGCTTTGAGATTTCAAAAGACTTTCAACATTCCATCATCTCTCTTGCTGACCAAGAGGGGAGCCCTCAGCGGTTCCTGCCACCATGCCTGTGTTCTGCCATAATGGGTTCCAACCCTCTAATCAAACGCTTTCTTCCATAAATTGCCTTGGTCATGGTGTTTTTATCACAGCGATAGAAAAGTAAGACACAGGTTGAAATGCTTAAGAGTTACAAAATTACCACAATTTTCTATTTCTTTCCATGTCAGTTTTCAGCAAGTTGTATTTAAAAAAACATTTCTCTACTTCAAACAGGCTGCTAAGTTTAGGTATAAATTTGTTTGTGATGTCTGCCACTTCTTTAAGTTATTTGATTTTATAATTCTCTAAGGCAATGAGCTCCTGCTTTTGCTGATTATCAGGTTTTCCATTTAGTAGTTTCTATTAAACTACTGCTTTTTTGTTTTTGGTTTGTTTGTTTTGAAACGGGGTCTTATTGTGTAGCCCTGGCTGACCTGGAAATCACTATGTAGGCAAGGTTGCCCTCAAATTCAGAGATCTCTCTGCCTCTGCCTCCCCAGTGCTGGGATTAAAAGTGTGCGCCACCACTGTCTGGTTATCCTCCTGTTTCTTGTATTTTCCTCTTGCTGACTCTCCTCCTCATCTTCAAGTACTAGATACTGAACCCAGGGTTGGGACCATGCTAAGTTCTGTCACGAATACCTCGCCTACCCAACTCTGTTTTTCTACTTGGATGGATGGTTATTCTGCTGGCTAGTTTTATGTCAACTTGATAAAACCTCTCACCATTTGGGTGGAGGAACTCTCAATTTTGAAAGTGCCTCCATGTGACTAGCCTTGCAGGCAAGTCTGTGGAGTACTGTCTTGTTTAGTGATAGATGTGGGAGGGTTCACTGATGTGATACCATCCCTGGGAATGTGTTCGATAATACAAAAAAAAGCAGGCTGAGCAAGCCATGGGGAGTAGGCCATTAAGTAGTGTTCCTCCATAGCTTCTGCTTCAGTCCCAGCCTCCAAGTTCCTGCCCTGCATGAGTTGCTGCCCCGACTTCCCTCGGTGACCACTGTTACCTGATAGTGTAAGCTGAACTCTTTCCTTCCCAAGCTCTTGGCCCTGGTGTTTGCTCGGAGCAACAGAGATCCCAACTAAGACAGATCGCGTTATTAACTGCTCGCCTGTTTTCTTTCCTTAGCATTTGAGGAGCAAAGTTCTACAAGTTTTTAAGGCCAGCACTTTCTTCAGCATTGGGCTGGCTAGTTTTTATGTCAACTTGGCACAAGCTAGAGGCATCCTCAGTTGAGCAAATGCCTCCACAAGGTCTGGTTGTAGGCAAGCCTGCAGGGCATTTTCTTAGTTAGTGATGTAAGTGGGAGCTTTAGGGACAACTTTACAGGTTTTCAGTTGCAATGACCCATGGAATCATTAATTAATCAGCCTCATTTCTCAAGGCCAACCCATCAGGGTCAGGGACTCTGTATTGGAGATTAGCCAAGGTGCAAGGCATATTGGAATTACTGCCTTGTGAATAAAGTGGCTGCTTCTTGAGATAGATTTCTCTGTAGTTTACCCCTATCTGTTACAAATTTAGGATTTATCTACCATAGTTCAGCACTATTTGATCATTTACTGGGCACAATTTCCCCTATGCATTTGGGGCTTACTGATTACGTCCCCTAGCTATGTGTGAAGACAGTCTCAGTCAAGAAACCTGCTTCCCAACTACCAGGTCTCTGCTAACTTCTTCAATGTAAACATAGAGATCTGCCTTCCTGCAATTATCAGGAAGTGTTCTGGGTCCAGGAAAAAGCATTCCATTTAAGACATTCTCAGATATCAAAGGACATAGCTGTTGATTCATAGCTTCTCAGATAGAAAACATAAGCAGGCCCTGGTTACCTGACTTATAGACAAGAAAAGCAACGACCTAAAACTAACCTCGCACTAAAAGAGCCCTAAGCCCTCATCTCACCTCCACCATAGTCTATTGATAATCTTAGTTCAGGAGATTTACTGCTTGTGTTTCACTCTGAGGAGACATAACTAATCATCTACCCACAGCCTGCCTCTGATAGGCATCAAGACCCAGACCTGATCATTTAGAGGCTTGAGTCTCCTCGTTTCAGCTGCTTAGAGTAAATGGTGTAAACTTCAGATCTGAAAGTCCCTTAGCTTGCAACATTTGGAAAAAGTGCTAATGGACCAAGGACCATAAACAGGCCTTGTCTGTGTACTGGAGTTGCCTGGCTACTTTCTGTGCCTGCAAGATTTTGAGGGTCTCTATAGCTGGGTAAGAACAAGGAGAGTTAACCAAGGCTGGAGCAGAAGCTGGCGTAGAAGTGTCCCAGAATTCAGCAGGTAGGAAAATGAAGAGGAAAAAGAATGTAGCAGAGAAGTGGAACGGGAATTAGAATTGAGACCGAGAATTGGAGCTAAGAAATAACAGTTAGGACAGAAGAATTAGAAGAGAGAACAATGAAGAGACACCCTGAGGAAGAATCGCCTGTGAGTTAATTTGTTTCTCCCCTCGGATCCCCTTAGTTATTTCTCCTTCGCTGGCTGTAGCGCGTTGGCTGAACCTTGAAGGGCCTGAGGGGCTGGTACCCCAAAGAACCCTGTTTTTCAGCAACTCAAAACAACTGCCTCTAAAGCATCAACAGCGAATGAGAGTGTCAGAAATGTCAGCAAGGGGAACACGCTGGCCTTTATATAACCTCACAAAGCAGTTCAATATGTTTAGCAATGAAAAGGTATTTTTGTTGGGCGTTTTCATGTACTTTTGTGTCACATCTGTTAAATGAGCAACACCTAAAGTTATTAATCCTAACTGTTAGGCAGAATAGAGAAACAAAAACCAAAATGGTATTATTTTATTGACATTTAATACAACCACATAAGAAATTATATATTTAGTACAAAAATGAGTGGTTAAAAATTTTACCCTGCTATTATTCACTGTTAATTCAAACTTGGAAGACTATTTTTTTTAAAATTTTAAACTTTATTTTTAGTAATTTAAATTATACATGTATGAATGGGCACACGTGTGTATATGTATTATGCATGTATGCAGACACCAGAAGAGGCCAAAGGAGTCAGATCCCCTAGCATTTGAGTTACAAGCCGAGGATGTGAACCAGCTGACAGGGGTGCTGGGAACTGAACTATGGCCTCTGCCAGCAGTGCAAGTTCTTAACCATGTGCTATCTCCTCACACAACAGAAGGAAATTTTTAAGTTTAAAGAATACGAAGATTTAATGTGAATAAAGATAGTAGAAGAAAACCTGAGTTTGAAAGGAAACTAAAGGCTTATAATACATAAAGAAAATGCATGTATATGAAATAAGTATTTGTAAGTGGTTGAAAAATGATCTGTATCTTTCCTTCTGAAAAGTTTAAAACGAGAAATTTACTTACCCCAGTTCTGTCATGCCATCCACAAATTCCTTTTTGCTAAATTCACATTGAGTGGCAGCCCTGAACTTCCATGCTATGACCAAAACGCTAATACTGGCAGGGTCCAGGTTCAAATCATCACAGAACTGCTGGATCCCATCAACTCCGATTTTGTTTTCATCCTGTGGGTCTGTTGTTAAAATTAGGGGGGAAAACATCATACTACATTGAAAAGCAATCCTAAAAATAGTTTCTTAGAATCATACTATATCAAGTATTTCAGTCACACCAGTCAGTGAACAACCATTTTCTATTAAGTATGAAATAAATACGGAGAGTTAAAAATCTATCCAGAAAGAAAGAAAGAAAATCTTAACACCTAGAAAGAACACTGAAACTCTTGTAAAGAGATGTCATCATTAAGAATTAAGGGCTGAGCACAATCTCAGAGAGGAATGCTTGCATGGTGTGCTTGAGGCCCTGGGTTCTAACATCAATAGGAAAACTAAAACCAAAGCCAAAACTCTGTTTAACTTCTAGCTGAGGACGAAGCTATGTAATGGAGGCTTGCTCCATTTGGGCACACATGCTGTGAGTTTATCTCCAGTTCAGACTCTGAAAAACAGAGGGAAGGGAAAGAAGAGTGCTCACAATTCTACCAAGGCAAAAATGATTGGTTGTTTTCTTCTTAAGTAATTTTATTTGCCAGCTCTAATGTGTTGGGAGCTATAGATCCTTGGCCCCTTGACTTTCTTTGCCTGCAGCTGAAAGATCCCGAGAGTTGGGTGAGCTAAGGATACCTATATAAGCTGCCCCTGAGCACAGTAAAGGGGGATTGGCATTCTTGTATCAAGGATGACCCATGTCCGTGTCTGTGTCTCTCTCTGTGTGTCTCTATGTGTTTCTAAGTCTCCAGGCCCAGTTCCTGGCTCGAGTACCAGTCCTGTAGTGGCATGGGCGCTACAGGACAGTACAGGACCGTTCAGAGTGTTGGTTCCTCTGGAACTGAAATTACAAAGGGTTGTGAATTACCACATAGATACTGGGAACCAAACCCCAGTCCTCTGCAATTCAGCAAGTGCTCTAGCTGCTGAGCCGTTTCTCCAACCCCACCATCTTACCTCTTACACAGGATCTCTCACTGAGCCTGAGCCTGCAGCGTGATGCTTTGGCTATATTTGCTGGCTAGTGAGCCCCTGGGACCCACCTGTGTCTACTCTCCTGGGCGTGGAGTTACCAGCATGTGTCTCCACACTTGGCTTTTGTGTGGGTGCTGGGGATCTGAACTCAGGTCCTCATGCTTGGCCTGCAAGTCCTTGGCTCACTGATCTGTCTCTCCAGCCCTACACCTACTCTAAATGATGCCCTTGCTGTCTTTTGAGACAGGGTTGTGTTGTGGATCCCAGGCTTGTCTTGAATTTGCAGCAATTCTCTTGCCTCAGCTTCCCAAGTCCTGGGATATACCATGGTGACCAACAGCAAAGAAAAATTGATGACACAAATGAAATTAATAAAATCAGACATCTTTGTAATTATATTATACGTGGAGTAACCCTCTCCAGGCTTATGGGAAAAAAGGTCTATTAAAAACAAAACAAAACCAATAAAAACCCCTGCTTGAGCCTCAACAGAAGAGCATTTTGGGAAAATGCATTCACAGGTACAGCACGCTGAAACAGTAGCCTGTAAAGCCCTGTTGGACGTCCTCAGCATGTACAGAACAGGGATTGAGGGGTTAGGTGAAGGCTTTTGACTCCTTCCCTCATCTCCAGCCTTTCTGCAAAGGAGAGTGGGCTCTAGAACTACACACAAGGAGGAGGCGTCTGAGACATCACGCGTGTGCTTGTCCACTACCATCACCCGTGTGCTCGTCCACCAGCATCACCCGTGCTCCTCATCCACCAGCATCACCCGTGCTCCTCATCCACCAGCCTCACCCGTGTGCTCGTCCACCAGCATCACCCGTGTGCTTGTCCACTAGCATCATCCGTGTGCTCGTCCACCAGCATCACCCGTGTGCTCGTCCACTACCATCATCCGAGATGCGCACTACAGCGTTTGGTTGGCTTTGCTGCCATTTTACCCCTTACCTTTGTACCTGCCATAGAGCTGCTCCAGTTTCTTCTGGTCCACAGTGCTCTTCATAGACTCTCGGTGGAACGCCTCTGGGTTTTGGAAGAAACTGTCTGTAGCCTCATCTAGTTTCCACTCATTCTGTGTCAGGCAGTAGATGGCAGTTTTCTCGCTAGCTTGTGTGCATGCCATGAACTGGCGGACTTTGTCCTTCTGAGTTGATTTAAGTTTATGCTTTAGGATGAAAAAAAAAGGTGAGAAAGCCAATGAATCTATGTTTGCTCAGCCTCGATTCTTTGTTTTTGTTTTGTTTTTTGGGACAGGGTTTTATTGCATAGTCTTAGTTGTCCTAGAACTTACTTTGTAGACCAGGCTGGCCTCGAACTCACAGGGATTCACCTGCCACTGCATCCTGAGTGCTGGGACTAAAGGCATGCACCACCACAGCATGGCATACCTCTATTCTTAACACCTACATTTTAACTGGATTTATTTTTCTTGTTGGACTCAACTTTCAGAATAGCAGGGACCAAAACCTTGCTCTTCATCAGTCAAAAGACTGCATCATCTCCTGAAAATGGAAATGAAAGCATATCTACAGTAATAAATATATAAAAGTTTAATGAAAAGTCGATGAAAATCAACCTTTTATAGGAAATATACTATAAGCCAGGAGTGGAGATGCACATGAGTAATCAGAATGTGGGAGCCAGAGACAGGGGGACTATGAATGAGTTCAAGGCCAGCCTCTCTGGGCTATACTGGGAGTCCTGTCTATAAAAAGTAAATAAATAAATAAGCAAGCTAGCCAAGTATGGTGGTGCATACCTTTAATTGCAGCATATGGGAAGCAGAGGCAGGTGGATATTCAGAGGCCAGTCTGGTTTACAAAGAAAGTTCCAGGCCAGCCAGGGTTACAAAGTGAGTCTGTCTTAAAAAAAAAAAAAAAGTAAGAAAAGTAAAGCATGTTCCCTTTGTATAAAATAGAATCTCCACCCTTAAAACATTAGCACAATATCTCAGTAATACACATCTGGTCCCCTGCCAATCACACAGGGACCTGATGCCATCACGGGGGCCCACCTGCAGAGCCAGCAGCTTCCACTGACTTCGGGCTCCAGTGAATACTGATGAAATGGGCAGTTTGGAAGCACTACTGTTTTAAGGCTTTTCTTAGTTTAGGAGCAGAACGGTGCTGATGGAAACACACAAATATCTAAGCGCGACGCTGGAGGAAATTACAAAGGGCCACAAGGGAGCACACAAAGCGCGTGTGATGGGATAAAACAGGCAATGCTGTCCATGAGACGAAAACTGGGGCAGCGGCTGTGGGGAGGCAGGAATAGCACTGCCGAGGACAAGGAACCGCGCTATATATAGTCCGGGGCGAAACAGGAGCGCATCTGCATGCTTGCCGACCAGCACGGCCACGCCCCTAAGGTAACTTGGGGAAAGCAATACCAGAAGTGATGAGCTCGTTTCTAGAAATCAAAACAGAGTCCATAATATACGGTTTCTTTCTTTATTTGGTAGAACTGGGGATCAAACCCAGGATCTCATGCACACGATGAAGCGCCAAGCTACAGCGGTCTGTCACCGGTCCTGAGGCTTCTTTTTTTAATACAAGAAGCTTTAAACAATAATAAAGGAACAGTTTTTACTTGAGAGGATTGCACTTATCTTGTTCAAATAAAGATGAGAATTTATAGTAGTAACAGAATAAATCTTAACTTACAGAAATACATAATGAATAGCAAGGTGCAGAAGAAGAAATAAAGGGGGGGAGGGCAGGAATGAGATTAAAACAAAGACACGAATATCATGTACAAGAACTGAAAATGGGCTGAAAAGCAGACTCCAAGCCACAGCAAAGAAGAAAAGGGGACTAGGTTAGGAAAATCTCTTGTAATAACACGTAAAATATCTACCAATGGATACGACAAAGTTCTGTGCTCCTGGCCTCAATCCTGAGGAAAATGGTTCTCACAGTCCCTTATGAAATAAGACACATGCAATGTCCCCTGTAAAGACGCAGATATCAACAATAAACAACAAAGCACATTCCGGAGTCGTTCTAAGGCAAACTATGCTTACATCAAAGCACCAATGTTGACCCAGAAGGAGAGTAAGATGATGAAGTCCAAATACAGCACACTTGAGTGGGCACTGCAGATCCTGGGTGCTGAGACCTTCGGGGGACTCACAGTGACAAAAGTTTTTCCAAGACTCTAAAATGTCACCAGTCTCATGCTCTTCTTCTCCCTGAGCATGCAGGAGAGACCTCAACTCCATGGTTATTTGTGATATAAAAAGAGGATGAACACACACACACACACACACACCTTTTCATGTGTCATCCTTGCACAGGGCCATGCTAATCGTCTCTGCACGGCTCTGATCTTAGTATATGTGCTGCCAAAGTGAGCACAAGAACTTATCGTTTAGGATGCTGGGCAGGAGATATTTTCATAGATGTAAAAAAAAAAAATGAGTTCACTATTGCAACATCCCCCACCAGACACAGTCTCTTTGTGTAGTCCTGGCTGTCCTAGACTCAGTTTGTAGACCAGGTTGGCCTTGAACTCATAGAGGTGGCCTGCCTCTTCCCCTGAGTGCTGAGATTAAAGGTGTGTGCTATCACCTCCTGGCTGCAAATTCCTTTAAAAAAGATTTTGGAAATTTTATTATTTTCATCTGTATGTGTGTTTTGCTTGCTTTTATGTCTGTGCACCATGTGTGTGCAGTTTCCATGGAGGTCAGCAGAGGGTGGTGAATACCCCAAGACTCTAGATGTGGATAATTGTAAGCTGCCATGTGAGTGCTGGGAATCAATTCCAGGTCTTCTGGAAGAGCAGCCAGGTACTCTTAAAAGCTGAGCCATCTCCAGGCTCCATTACTACAAATTTTAAATATGTTTATTTTAAAATATAAGTGACTATATATTCATCTAAACTTCTGACATGGTAAATTCTAATGACCACTATTATTTATATACTAATAATATGTAAGTTCTTAAGAGAAAGGCATAGGCAATAAATACCACAAGCTACAGGCATACAGTCTCTCACACACACTCAGCTTTGCAGAGTAAAAGCCAACGGTTCAGACACTATGCACATGCAAATAAACTTTACAGGCCTGGCTTGTTGCCTCTAATATGCTGCCCCAATATAGGTTCTGGGGAAATACATTCTACACACTATTCCTTAAAGCTGAGCCTTCAAAAGGACTAGACAAAGAATCCAAGATACGTTCTTGGCTAAGATCAAATTTAGTTAAATTAGAGTAAATCTTATGCACTATCATAGTTACCTGACAACTGATAGAGACAGTATCTTTTTATGAATCTGACAATCTCCCTAAAGGATGACTGGAAAAGCCAGAACATCTGTCTTGAAAAATCAAAAAAGAAAAAAAGAAAAAAACAAAACAAACAAGCAAACAAAAAAAATAGCTAAGAGAACTCAGGTCCAATGGGAAGAAAGGGGAATTGGTAATAATTTTCTTAAGAAAAATGGCTTATAAACTAAAAATTTAAAAGAAAATAAAAGAGCTCCAAGTTCATTCATGTAAGCAGATAAGAAATCCATGCCAAGGTCTACTTAGGCAAGTGACTTTAGATAAAGTTTAGCATGTCCTGGAACCAAAGTCCTAGAGGACATTTTCTATGTCTCATTATTTTATTGTTTAAAATGCACAGAATTTTTTAGTGCAAGTTGTTTACAATTACTTTGTGTGTGTGTGTGTGTGTGTGTGTGTGTGTGTGTGTGTGTGTGTGTAGGTCAGAAAACAACTTGTACTGTTGGTTTTACTTATTCATCATCTGGATTCCAGGGACTGAACCAGGGTCATTAGGCTTTAACGGCTGAGCCATCACTTCAGCCTGAACTGGTAAGGGTTAATTAACCCTTTTGCTCGATTAAATTACAGTAAAACATTTCATTTTAAGAAAACCATCTCAAGAAGAGATGGATGGAGCTCCTTCAGGGGACAACCTTTTGGGTGCGGTCTCTGCCCAACGTTTTCAATGGCTCATCTGCCTCACTTTCACAAGTTTACACACTACATTTACAGTAGCCCACTGAGAGAGTGCCTGATGCCACTGACCAGGGTTTTCAAAGTCTCCTACAGAGCTCAGCAGAGTGCCTCACACACAACCACAGCTGCTCAGAATCATTTCAGCAAGTGATAATCGATCAGATAAACAGAAAGCGGGACAAGCGGACCTTTTGAACAGCAGAGGCTGGCATGAATAGGGACAGGTGACCTGAACAGCACAAGTTGGAACGAAAAAGCTTCAAACGCTTTATGTGTTACCTCGTGTACAAGAAGGCACAATTTAGGCACACGGGTGCTTCGATTTAAAAAAAAAAATCTGTAAAATGTCCTTCCGGAGACACCTCCTCTTAGGTTCACAGGACAATCATTTGATCAAATAAACTTGTGGCCCACTTTAGGTTGACTGTGCTTTCGCAGGTCCAGGCCTGGAGAGTGGGTCCTTAAATCCAACCGCCTCCAGATTTTCAGCCTCCCAGTTAAGTGCACAGGCATAAGTGGCTTGGCCGCTGGCTCTACTAGTTGCTGATCAGGAGAGTCTTTCGGCTGCTCTTCTCAATTATTTCTTGCTTTCTGGGTTCATACCTTCTAGTTTTCCAGCCTCCCACTTCTCAGTATCCATTCCATCCCCTCTTGATTCCTTAAGACGCTCTCCCAAAGAACCATGTGCTTTCCTTTGCACAAACTCCAAGACAAGCAGACATCGCACTAGGGACAGAGACAAAACTTGTCTCCCTGGGCTCCCGTCCGCCCGCAGCCTCTCTGAGCATGGCTACCCCAAACCTAAGGAAAGGGGTTGTCAGGCGCCCCTCCCGCGATCTACTCCTGTGCACAGATCTTCTAGGCTAACCCTCCTCTACCTCGGCGTCCTGCCCATCTCTCCCGTCTCCAGGATCCCCAGCCTGATCTTGGCTTTGGAAGAGAGCGAGCAATTGGTGATATCCAATCCCGACGCAGGATCTCAAACCATCCTCACTCTGCGGAGTCAGGCGCCTGCACCACCTCCCGGGGATTGCTTCCTTCCATCTCTTCCAGAAACCTCCACGGACCAAGGCAGAGCTCGGCCAGTTCCGCCGCCGCCGGCGTCACTGTCCACTCAGACGCGGTCGGCTCCGCCCATCAGGCAGGTGTCACCCGTCGCACTCACAGCCCCGTCCCGCCCTCTGGTCCGAGCAGCACTGGGCCGGTCAGGCGCCTTTGCCCTCCCAGAGACCCAACCGGGCTCCCCACACCTACAGGCAGAGCCAGGCCTCTCCAAGTCAACCATGTCCCTCCCTCAACGCCCCGACGGGGACACCGGGCCTCCTCCGCCCAATGATCCTGAAACCCGCACAGAGCGGTGACCTCCGCGCCCGCCTCTGGCCGCACCTGCCAAGCGCAAACGCTGCCACCTACCATGCTCCCCAACGCTGCCGAAGCGGCTCCAATTTTCTGCGCAAGCGCACGCCGCTCTCCTCTGCGCAGGCGACCGCTACCGCGGCTAGCTGCAGGTTTTCTGCGCAGGCGCACTATACTGGCGCTCACTTTGGCTGGCTGGGACGATAACTCAGTCTCCAATTCTCCGCGTGCAGTGTAGACAGGTGCCCTTCCGGCCTGACGCTCGGCGTTTTGGGCAAGCCGTGACCTCTCTTTCGGAGGCCATTGCTGTTTTCTGGCCCTTAGGTACGCACTCACTGGAAGGAAACAATCTTTAGAAACTACAGTTCCCGGCGTGCACCGCGCCGCGCAAAGGCCGACGGAGCTGTCCACCAGCAGCCTGCTTAAAGGAGCCGCGACTACTTTTCAGCAGCACGTCAGAAGAGCCTGAAGTAAGAAGAGGGCGGTGCCGTTCTCCGTGTCCTGGTCCCACGCCCACGAAAGGGATGTGGGCTGGCTCACGTCTGTCCTGCTGGCTGCGCCAGGAAGCTCCCGATCGGAGACAGTGATGCTGAGGTCTCAGGTCCAGAGAGCGGCCTCCTCCACTGGGGTGAGCTCTGCGGTTGCGGGACTCCTGTCATGAGACCGGTTACACCGGGGTCCCCTTCCGGGGAACTCAATCCTGGGAACTTCTACCCGGGAATCCTTCACGGTTTGTCTCTTCCAAAAGGGCGTTCTTCCTCGGGGGCTGCCTTTGTCCCCTTTCCTGTGGGCGGCTCCTTTCCGGGAAGTTCCCTTTCCAGTGATTTCTTTTCTGGGGGTGGGGAGGGGCTCCCCTTCTCGAGACTTCACCTAGACTCGAGGGTTCAGCTCCCCGAGGTACTGAGACAGACAACCTCTTTTCAAAGGTATACCTGGAAACGGACCCCTCAAGATTGTCTTGAGGGCGGGTGCGGTGCAAGGAGTGCGGTGTCCAGCAACACTTGATTTAAGCTTATACAGCCTGGGAGGTGTAGTCAACAAGCAACCAAGACAGTTTACACATTACTCGGGGATTCCTTAGTTCTTAATTTGGGTATAGTTTTTCTTTCTTTCTTTCTTTCTTTTTATTTATTTTTTTATTTTGGTGTAACCAGTCAAGTCTGTTGAAAGTGACTTGGAAGGTCCCTCTCGCACAGTAGATTTAACCTCTGGCTCCAGCCTCTTGTGGCTCTTTGCTGCATCAGCCAACTCTTAAAAGGAGGGTAAGACCGCATAGACCCAAGTGCCTTCGCTTTCACCATCTAGCTCGTCTATGTGGGGCACAGAGTAGATTTGCTTACACGGAGAAATATTTGCTACCGATGAAAGGGCCTCGTTCTTCACAGTCTCTGTCTCCTCCTTGGCTTCCCTAACTAAAGAAAGAACAGACACAGGCAGCTGACTAGCGAGTAGGCTCTATCTACTTTGTGGACTTGAATTGGAACCTCCTGAACAAATAAAATAGCTATTTGAACAACCTTTTGTACACCATCTTGTAGAGAACTTCTACCTTGGGGGCTAAGGCAGGCGAATGAGAAGCCTGACAGTAGCCTGGCTTATGTAGTCATACAGTGTTTCAAAAATGAAAACTAAAATTGCTTTGTTCTTAATAAGTTGAAGTAAAATTTATGATTCTTTTGTATTGTTTGAAGGCCACTTGTTTGTTCCCAGCTGCTCAGCCTCAAAATAATCACAGCATATTATTTGCAATACTGTTTGGCCAATAGCTTAGGTATATCTCTGGCCAACTCACATCTTAAATTAACCCTTCTCCATTATTCTGTGTATTACCACGAGGTTGTGACTTACTGGGTAAAGTTCTGGTGTCTGTCTCTGATGGAGCAACATGGCTTCTCCTGACTCCACCTTCTTTCTCCCAGCGTTCAGTTTAGTGTCCTGTCCCGTACCACCACCACCCGCGAGCTACTCTCCCCACCCCGCTGCCTAGCTAAGTTCTGCCTTGCTATAGGTCCAAAACATTTTTTATTAATCAATGGTAATCGCAGCATACAGAGGGGAATCCCACATCATCTCCCCCTTTCTGTCTAAATGAAAATTTTAAGGTAAAATTACATATACAAAATAGTTATCAAGCAAGAATTACAGTCACAATATTTATAATCTACTTTATCTTTTATCATAACTAAGGAAAACTGTAATTATAACTATCCATTCAACTCCATCAGAGACTCCAGGAGGATATAATATTACCTAAGTAAACAGGAAGTGCATCATGAGCAATTTCCAAAACTCTAGAATTGACAGAGACATCTCGCTGCCTGGACAGTCACCCGAAGTTCTTCTGTACTGTTGAGGCATTCATCTTCAGCCTACAGGCCCATAGTATCCAGCAGACCTTTTCACGAAGCAGGAAATTTCAAAGACGGTTCCACCTATATTGGCAGTTTGTCAGTCATTTTCTTCTGTGTCCTGCAGAATATCTGGCAGACTCATAAAACAGGAACCCTGAAGGACCATCTCACCTTTAAGCAAGTTCAACAGTCATTTCTCTGTAGGTCCTGCATGTCCAGTTCATACAGCATAACATCAAGCAGTCCAGGCAAGAGCAGTTTCTTGCTTAAATGGCTAACCAACTCCATAAGGAGACTTATCAATGTCCATCTTCCTCTTGAAGTAGATTGGTGCTGCCAGGAGCAAACATGTCTCATTGTCATGAAAAGTCCTAAGTTATTAAAACATTTTAAATGCCATATTCTGAAGGTCTCTGAAAGATTTGAAGAATGCCTATCTAACTGAAATATATCTCTATCTATCTAGAAAACCTAACTAACATGACTACAATCTTGACTATTATAGATGTTTTGTTTTTATGAGATAGGATCTCATATAGATCTGGCTGTTCTGAAACTATGTAAACCAGACTAGCCTCATATCACATAGTTCCACCTACCTCTGCCTCCCAAGTGCTGGGATTAAAGGCTTTGATTTTTTGTTTGTTTGTAGTCCAGGCTAGTCTGAAATGTCTATGTATCCCAAGACAGAAATTTCTGTCTTGCCTGATCCCTGCAGCCATTCAGCCCCAAAGAAACATACAGAGGTCTATATTAATTATAAATTGGTTGGCCTATTAGCTCAGACTTCTTATTAACTCTTAAATCCTATATTAACCCATAATTCTTGTCTGTGTCAGCCACATGGCTTGGTACCTTTTATCAGCGAGGCATTCTCATCTTGTTTCCTCTGTGTCTGGGTTACAACTGCAGACTGAACCTTTCTTCTTCCCAAAATTCTCATGTTCTGGTCGCCCCACCTATACTTCCTGCTTGGCTACTGGCCAATCAGCATTTTATTAAAATACACGTAACAGATCTTTACAGGGTACAAGACCATTGTCCCACAGCATCAGGCTGTCCTTAAATTCACGGTTGAGAATACAGGAATACCTGGGAGATTATGTGATCTTTATACTGGAAGTATTGATATTTCAGTTCTCAATGAAGAAAAGCCGTGAGTTTGACTCTCAGAAAGTTGTTTCTGGTGCTGGAGAGATGGCTCAGAGGTTAGGAGCTCTAGCGTCTCTTTAAGAGGACCTGAATTCAATTCCCAGCAACCACATGGTGGCTCAAAACCATCTACAATCTACAATGAGATCCGGTGCCCTCTTCTGACCGGCAGGTATACATACAGACAGAACACTATACATAATAAATAAACCTTTAATTAAAAAAAAAAGTTTCTTCTATAACCAAATTCCCCCCCTCAAAAAAAAAAAAGAAAGAAAGAAAAAAGAAAGCCAGGCATAGAGTCACCCACCTTAATTCCGGTACTTGGGAGACAAAGGCAGAGGGAATCGCTGAGTCTGAAGCCAGTCTAGTCTACAGAGTAAGGTCTAGGACAGCAAAACTACACAGAGAGACCCTGGACCCTGTCTCAAAACCAAAAAACAACAACTGAAACAAAACCAATAAGAAGAAAAAAAAGTCTCTGTTTGTGTGCAGTTTCCTCATCCAAATGTAAAACTGTGGAGGACTTAGGATTTTGAGTTGACTCAGCAGTTAACACTTGCTCCTCTTCTAGAAGACCTGGGTTCAATTCCCAGCACCCATGGCAGCTCACAACCATCTGTAACTCCAGTTCCAGCAAATCTGACATGCTCATAACCTCCACGGGAACCAGGCACGCATATGGCACATATGCATACCTGCAGGCAAAACACTCATACACATAAAATAACAAAATTAATAAATCCAAGAATTTAATAAATAATATTTTAAAAACTCATTTTGAGATGACTATATTTCAACTCAGTTTTTTTTTTAGTTGAAATTTATTGAGCTCTACATTTTTCTCTGCTCCCCTCAATGCCTCTCACCTTCCCCCTTTCAACCCTCCCCCAAGGTCCCCATGCTCCCAATTTATTCAGAAGATCTTGTCTTTTTCGACTTCCCATGTAGATTAGATCTATGTAAGTCTCTCTTAGTGTCCTCATTGTTGTCTATGTTCTCTGAGATTGTAA